TCTATCTCAGGTTGCAGCAGAAATCAAGAAAAGATTATCAGACTTCAATTGACTCAATGAATCATACATCAATCGATTATAACCAATCAGTATATCAATCCCAAGTCATTACAATCAAGATTACTAACACATGGAACTAGGGTTCTTCATACCCAAGTGAGAGAAGGTTCTACTCCATAGAGAGAGAGAGAGAGAGAGAGAGAGAGGAAAATAGAAATCAGAGTAGTCATACTCATAAAGATGAGGATATTCTGCTCTGAGATGTCGATCTTCACTCCTGGGGATGCAATATGGGCTTCAATGGTGAGAAATCCACTCCAAATAGCTCATTGGGTTTGTTCTTCGCACTTTCTCTCTCTAAAGCTCTGTTTTTTACTCAAAAACTCGATTCCCTTTCCTTTGGCTCGAATCTGCCTCAAAAACCCGATTTTGGACGAAATACGGGCTGAATTACGGTCGTAATTCCTCCATGCCCGTATTTTGCCCAAAACGTGCGTTTTGGTTAAGTTTTAGCGCATCCAAGGCTCCTCTCGGCAGTGAAAATACGGGCATGGGAGGGCGAAAACGGTCGTATTTCTCCTGCCCGTATTTCTTCCTCCGCTCCTGTTTAATGCTTCGTTTCTCCCTCAATCGGACTCTGAATCAGTCGTCGTTTGATCCCAGACGCTCGTAGTCTCGTCCTCTTTCTTTTCATGACAAGATTCCATGAGTTTTTGTCCATAATATGAGGTAGAAATTCATTCTTCCTCAGGTCATGCTCGATTTTCTTCTCCTGAATTGCCAAATGATATCTGATTGACTTGAAACTTGCGCCTATGCATCCCTTTATTCGCTAGGACCCAAAATATGATAAAATAATACAACCTAGCGTTAAATAGGCCAAGACACCACAAATTTGAGCCAAAATGATTAAGAAACAAGGGTGCAAAATGTCCAAATACGACGCTATCACTTATATGCTTAGAAATAAGATTGCTTGGATGGATTGGTGATTTTGAGCAAAGGTCATGCCAAAATTTTCAAAATTTTAGCGTAGCATATTATTCAATTGAGCTTTAACATTATAGATATGCTACATTTCCAAAAATATTGGTCTATGCATTGAGAATTAGAAATTGAAATGGGAGTAGGAAATTGTTATTTTCCATTTCATTACTGAGATGGATCAAATGCATGTCCTTTTACCAGTGCAAACTTATCGACCTTTGCTTAATCTTATAACTTGGAGCTTTCAAAGATTTCAAAAAATATCAAGATATGTGATTCATATTACTTCTACATTTTGATCAAGAATACCTCCTATCTTTATATGAGCTTTAATGATAGATGAAGTATAGGAATTAATATCCTGTTAATATATACTTGAGAAGCTATATGATTAGTTTAAAAAAGAAACCACACTCTTAAAGTGTGGGGTCATCCCCTATTATCCATACTAACTTGGTTTCTTTTTAGCAGGAAAATGAAAGGATATACCAAATGGATGAGACTCCAATAGAAGAAAGGAGACGATGGCTCTTCTTCATCACGAGGACCGAGGCATCCTAGTCCACCTCGAGCTGAGCTAGAGGTTTGTAGCACCTTAATGGTCTGCACTACTCGACAGAGGGCACCATTGATTTTGATTAATGAAGAGGTGAGTTCGAGGGATTTAGATCCCAATTTCGATTTGTTTGATGATCTACCAGTAACAGCGACGATAAGCTATCATTGGATAGCGGACGATTGAGGAGTAGGAGAGGAAAACTGCCACTAGAGCCTGAGGTGTGGGAAACTGACAGTGAGCTAGTGATTGATGAGGACACACCAGAGGCATCCCGGTACTCTTCCCTCTGGTTCCCCACGAGCATTTCTAGTTCCAGAAAGTTACAGAAGTGGAGAGACATACCGGAAAGGAAAATTAGCCAGCACGAACCGAGGAAATCGTGATGTTCTAACATATGTTAATGATCTGAAACTTATTGCTACCAAGCTTGATTTAGTTGATAAGCCTGTCTCTGATCTCGATTTAGTGGTTCAGTGCCTGTGTGGCTTAGGCTAAGATTACAAACAATTCATAGTTGTTGTACGTGCCAGAGGCACGGTTATCACCATTGAGGATTTGCTAGATTCTCTTGTTGAGTATGAGGCTGATTTGAAGGAACAGGCTCGCCATACCTCCGTTCCCACGGCCTTCTATTCTAGGCAGACTCGCCGTGGAAGCAGCAGCAGCCCATCTGGGTATTTTTCTTCTCCGTGCAGAGGTGGTGGCCACAACAACTGTCCGCAGCAGCAAGGGTTTGCAAGAGAGACACATTTCTCCCCACTAGCAGGCCGCCAAGCCTCTTTCTCTTCACCAGCTCGCCAAGCCCCTTCCATTGCAGGCCCACACTTTACAGCCGAGCACACTAGTCTTCAACGGAGCTGGAGTTGTTCCCACCACTAAGTTGCGTATTCTGAAAATTCGTAAGTCACCATAGCCACTTTCTGTCGTTCGGTGAATTGGCCGCACTCAAAGAACAGAAGAATTTTTCTTTCCCAACCAAGGTACCCTGCAACATTTAGAGTTCCCTGAAAAGTTGGAATTGTCAATTTAATTCCAGCAAGGATTGCCGTCTCTACCTCCTGCGGCCGGCCTCCCCTGATAATCACGATGCTCGTGATGTTGGCGACCTTGCCAGGGATTGATCGCCACCAACTGCTGCTCAAGTTCCTCTATCTGAGCCACAAGATCCTAGTTTTCTTGTTCCTGGTCAGCCCCTGCTTCCCTGTCGCGAGGATTTTTCGTTGCGCGCTCTGCTTCCGGCAACGCCTGAGACAGAGCATCAAGCCTCCGTCCCTGCTCTTCCATCTGGCATTCGATCTTATCAAATTGTCTGAAAAATTGCTCCAATATATGTCGTTATAGTATGTAGGAACTCCGTTGTATTGAATTGACCTGTCATTGGAGCCTCGCCCTCTTGATTCGGCTCGTCGGACTCTTCCTCTATTTTCCGTTGTCGAACAGCAGGATCACTGGAAACAAGTCCTTTAGGCCTCATCCAACGAGTCGCTTCGGCAACAATGTCCTCTTTCCTGTCCACTACGTTGAACCGAGCTCTGGATACCGCTTGATAACACCCTCGAGTGGTGTTGATTTTCTCAAACCCGAGCTTGGAAGGCAAGCTTTGAAATTCGTCACAATCTTCAACAACTTGTCGAAGAAGAAGAAAGATAAGATGGAATTTGATGTGCAATCCTACACCTAGAGGAAGGCTCAACTAATATAAGTCGATGATCGCCAACGATCAATGCGATTTTGATCGATACAAGAGCTCAATCAAGCTTGGTTTTCTCAGCCAAGCTCTCAACCAAAAACTAGCCATGAAGACTTAGTTTTTAGGGTTTAATCTCAATCAATTCTCAACTGCCGATTACAATACCTTCGTAGATCTTAAATAGAACTTACAAACATCCTAAACGCAAAGGAAACCCGAAATAAACAAGGAAAGCGAAAACTATCCAAATCCTAATGCAACACGAAAACTTAAAAGGCAAGTAAAAAAACAGTTTTGATGCCATCTTCAAGGCCCTCGTTTGCAGCCTTCATGTTGTTGATTCGATCACCCAACCCCTTGCTTCGGTATTAGAAAGTACAAGCTTTCATGTGGTATGATCCTTGAAACGTGAGTCCCAGCCAGTTGTTGTGAAATTGGACTCCAAATTGGCCTGCCCACAACTGCTCCATGCCTTAAGCGATTCCCGGCAGTTTGCCTGTGTTGCCATGGGGTTTTGACGAGTTTGAAAGTAGAACTTTTTCCTAGCCTTCCCTCGAGCTCCTAGACACTCCCATTTGTAAAGAAACTTGCAAGCTTAAAAAAAATCTTCCAATCCAATTTCCATCAAGCCAAACGCAAGAACCATGCTTGTAAAGAGAGTTACCCGAAACAGTCAACACTTAGCCAAAAATCCCAGTTCTTCCCATAGGTTGAGTGGCTTCTTGATCAGTAAATTCCCACTTGTAGATTGATCCAATTGAGATCACATCAGCTCCACTCTCATCTCTTGGCGCTTGCAAAAGCAGCGAACTGTAGCCTGTTAGAGCACTGAAGCGGAATATCGCGCCATCGCGCCATCGGCCATGCCGCTGCCGAGTTGGAATGGATCTTGCCCTTGACTACCACTTTGTTCAAAAGCAGATAATCTTGGCGCCACTTCGTTCAGCTCCAATCCCGTTTTTCACTCCCGGAGGAAGCATCTTGCCCTTGACTACCACTTTGTTCAACAACTCGTCCAGGATGGTCGTCCTCGTGTGACCTACATTCCCACGGCTCAACAGCTTGTTGATGCACTCACCACGCCATTACCCTCCACACGGTTCCTCCTTCTTCGATTCAAGATCGATGTCGTTGATATCGTCTTGCTGAGGCGTATTAGAGATAATTAATTAAAAGAATTTTTAATTCTTTTATTTGTTTCCTTTATGCTTCATTCCTCCGCCTCTCTTCTGTTCCTCTATTTGTGGAACCTGTATACCTCCACTACTTTTCTGTTGCTACCAAGACTCTTTGTACGTGTATATTAATCCCGTGGACAATCAATCCAAATCAAGTCAGTTTTCCACAATATTCTTTTCTCCACAAATATCTTTCACAAAGAGCACTTCTACTATGCTATATAGTATTGGTGCTTTAATGTACAACTTAAAGTTGTACCATAACATTAAATGTATAAGTTTAGGTTGTACCATAAAGCAATTTGTATCATTATGTTATGGTACAACTTTACGACTTGAAATTATACCATCACATAAAGGTACAAGTTCAAGTTGTACCATAAAAGAATTTGTACAAAAAATATAGGTACAATCTAAAATTGTACCATAATGTAAATGTACAATTTTAAGTTGTACCATAAAGGCAAAATCCTATAGCACCAATACTATATAGCATTGTAAAATTTCTCCTTTCACAAATCCTTAATCCATTTCTCTCCCGGTCTTGTCTCTATAAAAGAAATCCGCGAATTACCGAACAAAGTTCGACACAATCCTTCTTCCCTTTCCAGTTTCCATACACAGTGTAGTTTTACAGCACACGAGACCGCTTTAGCCTTTCCTGCTCTCCAAACTCGCCGGTAAACCACCACAAAAAGGGAAAGGATGAGGTCGTTAGAGTCGCTGTCCCTACCTCATCCGAACGCCCCGCAAAGGTAATCTGAAACCGCCTCTTGTCTCTTTCTCTTCGACTGAATTCCGACTTCTTTTCAACGTATTCGGTTCGATTTTTCAGCTGTTTATGGGGGACTGGGAGTGAAGCTGGAAGAAACCCAGTTCCCAAAATCTCGAAACTTCCACTGGGTCGTTCCAAAATAAAGTCTTTAGCTGTGAGGATGAGCTTGGTTACTTCTAGTGGCGGGACAGGGAAGAAGAACCCCCATGGGATTGGAAAAAACGACGGCGTGATCATCGTCGACCATGGATCGCGGCGGAAAGAATCGAATCTCATGCTAAGTAAGCTGTGATTGACTTCTTCCGCTTGCTCAAATTTTTTTACCCTGGGGGATTCATAATTGCTCTTTTGACATCGGCTTATAGACTCCATTACTTGTATGTGATTTCAGATGAGTTCGCGGCTATGTTCAAGGATAAAACAGGATACCCAATTGTGGAGCCGGCTCACATGGTAAGTTCTGTCTTCCATTCCAAAAAAAGCATTAATGCCTTTATAGTGCAGTTCCTGTTAGAATGACTGGAAATTTTTATCGTTGCCTGTGCCATAAACATAAGCATAGAAAGAAGATTTTAAGGTAGAGTAGTCAAAGGTAGAGTTGAGGGTGCTTTGTAATAATGTTGTAGTTCTTCAATGTGAGTAGGAACTGGCGGAGCCATCTATCAAAGACGCGTTTGGCATTTGTGTTCAACAAGGTGCGAAGCGTGTTGTTGTCAGCCCGTTCTTCCTTTTCCCAGGACGCCACTGGCACCAGGTTATATATCTCTGCAACTAAAGTAAACTGCTCATTGATCTGTTTGGTGCAAGTTTTCATAGAGTACTTACGAACTTTTCGTGTTTCCATTTAAAAGGACATTCCTTCATTAACTGCTGAAGCTGCAAAAGAACACCCTGGCGTACCATATCTCATAACTGCACCTCTCGGCTTGCATGAGCTGCTCGTGGTATCTAGTCTAGCATTGCTCTCCTTTATGAATGTTAAATTTATCCTGCAGCCTTATTTAGACATGGTGTAACTAATTTTCATTGATCTCTCGGCTCCCATCTTTTGAATTCTTGGCTGCTCTTTTGTGGCAGGATGTTGTGAATGATAGGATCAATTACTGTTTGAGTCACCTAGCCGGAGATGTCAAGGAATGTGATGTTTGTGTCGATACAAACAAATGCAAGTTCACTAGCCACTGAGCAGGAATGGCATATCGACTTACGGCAGTCGAAGGTTATCAACTAGAACATTTGTCTTGTCCTGATGGAAAACTAGCACATACTGTATAAGCTTTAGCAGGATTACATGCTCAACCTCTTTTGGGTCTTTGCTGTATTTATGTGCACAATCGTGAGCAATAAAATTTCTAACTTTCTCTGCACTTGGATCAATTTCTAACTTCCAATAAATTCCTTTATGATTCATCAGTTTCTGTCTTCTGTAGCAAGTTTCAGTTAAAGGTTTCACTGATCAAATTCCAGATTGACAAGAATGCCCACATCTTGAGGTTCATGCTATCATCAGCTTGAGCAGGTGTTTCTTCTTTAGCAGGCTCTTGCCCCGCAGTTCAGTTGTTATTCGTCAGTACAAGTGACAATATGATATACTGTAAGTTGATTCTCTTGCTTGCTGAGAAGGCTTACTATTGCCCTGATAATCTTTTGCCTGCTTTGCCACATGCTTTTTAAATGTCTCAGTTGCTTTGAAGACATTTGCTAGTCTCTCCCAACCTTGTCCAAACACACCAAGCTCTTCCTTCGGTTTAGGTGGAATCGAGCAAAAACCCCAAGTCTTCTCCTTCCTTGCCACCCGTCGGCTCTTGCAGCTCCTGATCACTGTTGTGGCGATTCTCTGCCTCCACCTAATTCTGGGAGATTCAACCATAAAACAGATTTGTTTTTCCTTAGATATGATAACTCAGAGAAAAAGAAAGGCAGAGAGAGTTGGTTTCCTTCACCTCGAGGTGCTGTTATTTGAAGTGAAGAAGCACTGAATCCTGTTTGAATTCTGATGGGTTTCAGCACTGAGAACTCTGATCGGGGAGAATCGCCATTGGAGCTCTACTGCAGAGGTTGGTTTTTTCTTTCCAGCACCCGGTATAAGAACAGTTTGAACTTTGAAGATTCAAGATATTGGAATATGAAATTATTTTATGGCTACTCCCACTGCCTGTCTTACAAGAAATGTGCGCGGCATGGCCGTCGTCAGGAATCACTTGTGGGGCGCAGGAACGGGATATGTCGAATCCGTTAGGTTGCCTTAGCTATTTGCGCTGAAGTAGTTGTTTCGATTGTGAACTCCTACAAATTCCAAAGTATAAGAGTTGTTAATTTCAGTGAGTAGTTCTTTCTTTGTTGGTTGCTTCCTTATAACTAAAGAATTGGGATTAGAAGGTTTCTTTTATACTACTTTCAAGATTGAGAGTAGAAAGGTCTTTATGAGTTTATTATGGGGTAGAAGCCATATTTGATTTGAGTGATAAACACGGATGAGTGAAAACACGTGATGGATTTATTGGTGACACATAATCTTTTCAGTCTTCAACTTCACTAGTTGACGAATCAACTCTTGTTCTTGGGTTGCTTGTGGAAGGTGGATACAATGGTAGGTAATGGTGATGCTTAGGTTGTAAACATCAATGGAGGCGTTAGTAGGGCGAATCATCCAAGCTGTGTGTTGATCAAGCTCGAATGAAAATTCAACTCGATGAAATCAATCAAGAGAGGGTCACAAAATCGCATAAAACCACCTAATGCTTATCCCTAGTTTTCGGTATAAGCACATTGAGAGTCTGTAACAACATATAAACATGTCGCAATAATTTGCTTTGTTGTGAACTGAAGGAGAGAAACTGTTAGCTTACATGTGTTGGTAATTTTAACAAGAATTCCCTGTCCATGAGAACACTACTTCACTGGTTGGATTAAACTAAATATATGCATTCCTTTCCTTGTTTGTTGCCTAATTATTCTAGTTCTGCATAAATGATTTCATCATCTCTTATCTAGGTTTCCTTTTCCATTCGTTTGCTGATGATGAAAAGATAACATCGGAATAAATGAAATATAAAATTGAAATCAACTATCAAACTTGCTAAGACACGGGTCGATGTAAAACTGTTCTACATATCTGTTTGCTTAGGAAATCAATGGATTGTCTTTCACACATTCAGTTGGATCAGGTAGCAAATGATGAGCGGTTGGCTTGATCCCTCTTCTAAGCCAGTAATTTAGAATGGCTATTTCCAATTTCCTCACCTGCAAAAAAGTATTTCTTGGTGAACAAGCATTGAATTGAGAAATTGGACGGTATGCATGAAGCAGCACCTCTCTTTCAAGTTTCAACTATATATATAGAAGTTAACTTCTTCCATCCCGCAATCTATATACGAACTGCATTTGAACTGATGTTACTGTTTGGTTCGATGAAGCAAGTTCCTGTGTCAACATGTCTTTCTGGCATACACAATCCAGTCCAACTAACAAACGAATCATGCTCCATCTTAGAGAAACTTGTCCTCATCAGCCTATGTTGGAAAATTCAACCCAATGCCAAACCATACTTGACTCAACTAACATGAATTTCTATGAAATAAGCAGCAACCTCTTCTTCTAAGCAAAAGCAATGTAAAAGTCTTAGGATATCACAATGGACAATAAGACTAGACAAGCATAGGATCCAACTAAATGGGTTCAATAAAAAGTACTAAACGCAAAAGTTATGACTGAACCAGTTGAATAGACGAGGATAACTATACGCAAATGCATGCTTTTGGGAATTGAAACACGACAGTAGATGATTGGTTCTCCAAGTTACCTTGAAGGAACAGAGTCCCATACAAATTTATCTACCGTTTTATGTGTAAAATTATCTATTAGAAGGAGCCGCCTTGCAGTCATATCATAATAACAAGTTTTGGTTACAGTTGTCAACACAATGCATCTCTCTCATTTGATGGGTTTCCAAGCATAAAACTCGAGAATCAAAAAGAAGAACAACCGACTGACCTGCCTGACAATGAAAGGCTCCTCTGCCGTACTTAGTGGCTTCGTTAATATTGTAAGAAAGTCGTTTCGATTCCCATAAACAATATCTGTGAATGTTCTATCTCCTACCTACAAACAACAATATCATAAGTCCATATAAACATGAAATCCCTACAGAAGAGCACAAATTGTTGCACAAATCTAGTAGTTTGTACCATGATAAGTTGTGAGGATGTACAGCCAAAATGGTTTTCGATTTCTTCAGCAGTTCCAGCTGGTTTCTTTACTCCTATATATATATTTGAAATCATAGATGAACATACCAATACCACAGGATACAAAAACACATATGCTGTAAAAAACAAATGCTGAGTGCTTGCTGACTGACTCCTTGCCATAATTATTAACTGTGTAAATTCGTATATAACATAACCCCTTGGTTAATTGGAATGAAAATCAGAAGGAGCGAGGAGGACATACTATGTCTAACGACTTTGATTCCAATAGCCCTTTCCAGTGCCCTGGCTTTTGAACCATTGTAATCATATTCCCGCAGCCCTGTTCATTGCAGAAGAACACCAAATCATCATAAGCAAGAAGAAATATTCTGCCAGAAAGAACAAAAGATAAAAAATTACTAGCAAACTTTACCAGCAGAGTTGCTAAAAACAGCAATATCGTTCCCAAAAACGGATTTACACTCCTCCATGGATGGGCCAAGAGGTGCCCATAGCGCCAACGAGTAAGGTACGGTAATGGTGTTATCCTTGTCAAAAACCACACCTTTGAAACCACGCTTACGAAGTTCAACCCAATCGATGTACCTAATATCAGGCACCGCCATATGAGGCAGGGCTAAATGTCGATCCCTGAGGAGGACCCTCGCCGCGGAAACAATCCCTTCAAAGCTAATTCGCTGCCCGAATGCCGCTCTCAAGTCAGGCCACCACATGTTTGTGCAAAGCGCTGTGTGCACCCCGACCTCAAACTCGTCAACAGTTGCTCTCCTTTCGGCAGGTGATTCAGTTCCGTCTACCGGGTTGTGGCTAACGAAGACGGTAAGTCCAGCCGAAGAGTGGAATTCGTCCAACACCGAGTAGGAGTGAGGTCGATGTGGAGACGATCTGGTGCCGCTTCTGTTGCTCTGGGATACCCCCAACTGTTCTTTGCTGCAATTGTTGGTTGCGGGAGCGGTGAGGGAGCAGAGCTTTCTGTAGGGTTCGCGGCGCCGGGGAAGGGGAAGGGGAAGGGACGAGGGTGTGAATTTGGGGCTGAGACCGAAATCAATGAGAAAGGATGGGATGGGGCAATGGCAGTCGGGCCAAAGGATTGCAGAGGCGGACTGCATCTCCAAATCCGGCGTGACTGTTTATGAGGGTTTGGTGATTCATGTTTTGGTGGAATGGAATGGCTATTCGAATCTAATTCGGGCTCCGCAAGACCACAAGATTTTATGAGAGATTTTGGACTTTGGACTCGAGTGGAGTCATCTCTCTCATATGCCAAGTTGTCAATTGGGTTGGCCCAAAATCCTAGTGAATCGGGGATCCGCCCGAACCCAAACCGGTCAGTGCAAGCAAACCCCGTAATGACCGAGTTCGGGTCAGGTTTAGCCAAAACTAGAAAGTGTAGTTCCAGACACGGGCAGCGGATGGATACTGTATCATCTGTCTCGAACTCGTCTGGTACCACATTACCAAGTATTTAACGACCCCTCGACTTTTGAAATCACATTCTCATTTCTCAGCTTCGTCCTTCATTAAACCAGGATATGGTGCACTACTTCAATTTTGGAGGACGGTTCTCCAGAAAATTTTAATGGCTGGGATTAAAAGCACACTCTTCCAACCGTTGGGATGAGCTTTAAGTTGAGATAATGGGTTTTGGGCCCCGTCAGTCTGAAAACCTACTGACAAATAGGTCAGGCAAAGTAATTTTAGCTTGTTTTGGGCTTGGTTGAGCCGACACCGCTTACCGGCTCTAAAAATTTCGAATAAGCAAAGCCAGAATCGTCTCCTACCTCTCCTCTCCATCGCCTTCTTCTTCCATTATCCTGGCTTTAAAAAAATTTCGAACTCCCTCTCTCCGCCCTCTCTGTCAGTCTATCTCTTTCCTTTCACCTTTTCTTCTTGCAAGTTGGATCTGATACTTCATCCCTCAAAACCCTTCCTTCCTCAGATCTAATTAGAAAAACCCTAAAACAAGCATTGTCGAACGGCGGGATGGAGCAAGCAGAATCGAGGAGATTGAGATGCTCGACGGGGAAGGGTAATAGGTGGCCTGAACTGAATGGCTCGTCCGAGAAGTCCAAGATGGCGGAGAGCGATTTTCAATATCAGCTCCATCAGAGGCTTGTCTCCAGAGATGTATTTCACTAATAAGAACTAGTCACGGGCCCGGCCAGTTGGCCGGATTCAGTTTGCAATAACGTAATTACTAATAGCAATTTGTATACGAACTACACATTAGTTTAAAAAAATCTTAATCAAATACTCTAAACATTCTTCAACAATTTAAAAGGCTCAACATCATAATTTTTTTTATATTTTAATGACTAATCGAATAAAATCCTTTTATAAAAATAAAAGAAAACCCCCATGCAAGGGAACTAACTTCTAAAGATAATTTAAAATGACTCTTCTAATTACTCCTAATCATCTAAGATGACTGCACGATTTCTTCATGAGCAACATCATCGTCTCCACTAATCATGTCTTCATCTTCATTAGTGATACATTTATCTGCATCATCAATTATCTCTTACTTCTTCTCTTGCCTTTCAATAATCTCATTCTTTTTTCTCTGCATTTCATTGAGCAATAAAATTTAATAATAAAATATTTTCTAATACAAAGCATTTTTTTCATTGTAGTATAATTTACCTAGTCCAAGGTATCAACAATGTCCAAGATTTGTCTTTCTCCCCATCCCTGATCTCAATCTTTATATCTTTCTCATGATGAACAATGTCTTTCTTCTTCTCAACAACAACCTCATCTCTAGCACCTGATCCATTATCTCCACCATTAGCAGTGTCATTTTTGTTCTCATGCATCAACATTATGAATTTAGATCGTTGACGTTTATAAGTACAATATATGGTGTCCTTTTATAGAATCATAAGTGATTAATATATATCAGAGATAAAATTGAGGCCCGAAACAATTGATTGCACGTTAGTGGAAATGAAGCAAAGTTCCACACTGAGTACCAAGATTAAAAATAACAGAGTTGTTGTATTTTCAAGAAGGTAATGAAAGAAATAGAAGGGTGTTCTCCACCTGTTAAATTTTATTAATCCAAGCAATTCTGTTAATTAAAAACTCAATTCTTCATCCGGAAATTGAAAGATATCATTTAGAATAAAATACATAACTAAGTATGAGTTGTGGATGGTATAAAAATTTATATACAATAGAGAATAACACAAATTTGTATTATTATTTATCATTATTTTGATGCATGTAGAATTTACATTGATCAAGTCAAAAAATCACTACTACAACCACCAAAATCACTACTAATTTAAGTAGTAGTAATTTTTCAATAGTAATATGTTTATGTCTAAAATTTATATTAAAAAGAAGAGAAATAGTTAAATAAATTATTTATTTATTAGATTAAATTGTTTTGTATATACCGAATATGTCCCTCACTACTCCCCGCCATTAGATTTAGATTAAAAGTAATGAACGGTGATTAGATTGGTTATTACGGTGCTAACTCTTATAGAATTAGGACTGTAACTCGTCCCGAAAATTGATATACATAAGGAGTAAAGGACTCATACGTCCTTCAATTGATGCACTCCATCCTCCTGCTTTTTATGGCTCATGTGATGTAATTTAAAATTATGTTTGGACGTAAATTAAAAAATTTAAGAAGCTGGGCTACTTCGTCCGTCCTCCTATGGCCCATGTGATGTGATTTTAAAATAGTTGTAATCGAGCTTCCACTCCATCCATAACAACAAAGCATGTTTTGTTCGCGACTCGAAGATGGATCATAAATCTGTATAATAATGGAATGTCATAAACAACAATAAAAATTGTTTGAATTAATTTATTTTATAGTTGGTAAATGCAAAAAAAACTCAAAATTATTCATTTACTATTAGGAAAATAGTCTCATAGGATAAGATAGGTGAAAAAAATGGTAATTAATATCTTTTATCTTTTTTCAAACTTCAAACTTATAATGCATAACCAAATAAGATGATTATAATGTTGTGAATTTCACCTTGGCTCAAAATTAATAACTTCTAGAATTCTTGAATTTGCCAGCAGCAAGGTCGCTCCAATTGAGGAGAAGGTGCTCTCGCCTACAAAGTTGAAGATCATTTAATTAATTTTCATTAATTTGATTGCAAATGTTTGAATTAATAATAAAGCAATTTAAATGTTTCCTTACCATTGAAAGAAGCAACACATAATAATCTAATGATCAGAATGAGAGGAAGATCTCCCGCATTTGCAAGGATGACATTTAATTGGGTAAGAATCCTACCAAAGATAGTTACCTTGACAACCAATCCCTCGTACCCAAATTATATATTAGGTTTACGATGAGAGTTTAAGTCATGTGTGCTATTTTAAACGAAAAGCTAAAAGAGTTACATAGTCTTGAAGTTTTTGTTGTGCAACTCTTTGCGGGTAATCTTTCTTGTGAGTCTAGTAGTTATGAATAAACTCGAATACTTAATAAGATGGCCAACAACATATGTGGAGTGAAAAAACTTAAAAGTGGATGGTTTGGCTCTATATGCATCATTTTGAATTAAATTTGAATTGAGAGTAGTCATTTGAACCTAAAAGAAATTTCATTTGGTTGCCGTTCTTGTCAATCTCGTATTGTTTGATGAAATTAAACTTGTAAGATGGTATGGTTGGGATATTTTCGAATGCTTGTGTCTCGGTATTTGATTCAAATTTTATTTGGCCAATTCTTAAGAAAAAAACTAAGTTTAGTAAAACATTAACAAAATTTTAATACGGATATGCTAGTGAACATAAGAGAGCAGCAACCATGGCAACAATAATGAAAGAAAGAATATATGCAATCATTCTTAAATAATAAATAATCACAGATAATACTAATTTTTCGCTGAACTTTTTATGGATTCTAAAATATTAGAAAAATAATTGACAATATGAAATATTAGCAAATCATTAAGTCTTTGTAATACTTCCATTAAATGATTATGAGCTGGCGGATGTGATGCTGAGATGGAAGGAATATGATGACATGACACTCAAAAGGAACTAGCTTTTTACCCGGCCCGTTGGCTGGAGAGATTTATTTTATAATTTATATTAATTAACTTATTCATATGTTTAAATCATTTTGGATCTTCTAAATATTTTTTGTTCTTGATTCATAAAAGAGTTGTAGTATGTCTATATTGAAAATTTCCAATATTTAGCACACTCACTTCTGATGTTTCGGTTTTCTAATCATAAATTATGTCTATGTCACGTCCCATTTAGAATTTATGTCAAAATTTGTCAACCAAACATACTAATATTTAGCGTACCCCAACCTGAACACCCCCCACCCCCACACACACATATATATATAGTTCAAGCTAGAGTGCGCAGGAGTACGCTATACTCTTGCGTTCACACTACCATACGACCATTGAGTTTTACTATTTAGAATCCGGAGTTTTTTGGAGCATGATACTATACCCTAACCTCTAATAGGTGAACTCTAATCCCTAATTCTCTAACCTCTAATTTATGCAAATACTTTGTCATACATATCTTCTATCGTATCTTGAGTAATATCAAAAGATAGTATACCTTGATGTTATATATATGTGTGTGTGTGTGTGTGGTGGGGGGGGGGGGGGGGGGGGGGGGGGGGGGGGTTATATATAGTAGACTCAAAATTATCCAGATACTTCGCCAGACCTATCTTATTTCGCCTCATACTCGTATTAAAAGTGCTACTTGCCTATCCCCCATCCTCGGAATAGAGATCCCGCTTTTACCCCATAACGTCAGACAACCATTGGGGTTGTCTATCGTTTCATATGTAATATATAAAGAGGCAAATTCTAAGAACCTGTTATTTATTTCTTATCCTCTCTCGCCGCCCCCTTTATGGCGAATAAAAGGGTAGGGATGACAGGATCATAGCTCGATATGGTTTTATTCTGTTCATCGTATTGGAGGTTATGTTCTTTTTTTATTTTTTTGGGCTTCTTTTCATTCTTCTTTGGCACCTATTTGTGATCAGAAGTATTTAGCCCCCGAAAAAGGGTTGGGATTTTAGGTCCTTTGGAAATCCAATACACATTCATGATCCTCAAGTTTGGACGAACTCTCGACCAATGTTGTAAAGATTAGGACTTTTTGGTGAGAAATTCTTAGTAAAATACTTCATTATTGGATCAATTTATTCATCCATATTGAAACTTGACACACACCGTAGCCCTCGTGATGATTAAATTCTATAATCTCGACTCATTTCCATTTTGGATGTTAGTTTTTTTTTTATGAAGACACTTAAATTTAGTATATTATACAATATGTATCAATTGTTAATTTTTGAAGTTCAACCCATGGTCATTGTTTATATATTGGCTTAGAATCTCAATCTAAGACACTCGCACACACTATCGAGGATTTTGGGCTTAACATGGTCATTGAATGTGTAATTTGTTGGTTGAGTCGAGCGCGAGACTCCGACGTCGATTCGCTCTTCTTCTCCGATCAATTGAGATTCTGCGTTACCCTAAATTCGACCTTCACAAGAACAAGTGAAAGAAGTGGAAGAAACAAAAGAAACTAAACGATGAAGAGGGTAAAACGACTTCCCTTCGGAGCTTGCCGAAACGACAGCGAATTCAGAACCTAAACTTGAAGTGGGCTGGGCTTAATTCGTTCTCAATCTGTCGATTATAAGTTGGCCCAGATTACTTTCACAAAAACTCTGCGAAACCCAGTTTCTTACTTCTCACCCTGTGCAAATCGATCAAGACCTGTTCTGCAAGAAGAACTTGAACTTGCACTAAATCAGAAGCAAATGCAAACTGAAACATAAGATGCAGTAGATGAAAAGCACAAATGGACACAGACACAGTATTTTTACGTGGTATCCGGTGTTAGGTGATTAATGAACCCAACACCGACTAATCCACGGTAGGAGACTCTCCTCTTGAGATCTCCTACTTGAGCACTATGATTTAGTTTCTTCTTACAGACTTTGGCGAACTCTGAATCAGCTCCCCGCTGATCGACCAAACTACTGATCTCTAGTGATTCAAACTCCCCGTTCAATCACCCTTGTTTTTCCCTACAAATCTCCCCAACTTGCTTTCATGATTGCACCCAAAATACTATCACCTTTTCTAGCTCTCTCTTTTGCTTTCAATCATTTGGAAAAACTAGCTCACCACTCAACTCTCACATAGATTATATACTTCTGTTTGAACTGAGAGCCGTTGAGAATGGATTGGCCTGGTGAAGGTAAGTGTTTGATTCTTTCCCTTTCTTCTTGATCCTGATTTGCCTGGTTGGCCAACTTTCCTTGTGTTGGCCTGGTGAAGGTAAGTGTTTGATTCTTTCCCCTTTTGCTTGATCCTGATTTGCTTGATCCTGATTTGCTTGGTTGGCCAACTTTCCTTGTGTGCCTCTCAAGAGATACTGTGATCTGCTGCTTCTTCTCTCAACATTCTCCCCCTAAGCATGTCATTTGCTCCAAAGCGCTGATTCCATGATTACCCTGCACATCTTAGCAAACGGTTGGTGCAGCCTATCCTATACCAAAAAGTGATGTTTACAACGACTGCAATTCACTGGACTAAAGGAGAAGTTCATTTTATTTGAGATCAAGTTGCAGAGAACAAGACAACTTTACTACTACACCGAGACAAACTGAAAAACCAACCTATAGAGCTACTCTAACCAGATAAAACCTCTTATGAACTCCCCCTAAACGAGTCACTCCTCCTAAACTGATTTTCTACTCAGAAATCATATTCTGGTGGGGATTCATAGTCAGATATACCCTCTGCTTCTCCCTCCAGAGTGTTTGAATACTCAGACTTCTTTGCCATCTTGATCCGAGCATAATGAAATTCCATACTGGCTAGTTCCTTGCGTTTGACAGCAGAGATTTCTCTGTCAAGTACTGCAGATGCAGCTTCCAAGAGTGCAGAAACTAATTGCTTGGAATCCTTAGCAGATTCTCCCCCTGAGCAAATGGCAGGCTTTCTCCTACCAACCTGGGCGTCAACACGAGTAAGAATGTGTTGAGCACGCAGATCTTCGCGGACATCACAGACTACCAATTTATCACGGAGGTCAATTCCTACGCGAGACAGCAGGCGAGTGATTTGGGGACCAAAAGGGAGAGGACCAGAGTAATTCTCGTCGCCATAGTTGATCATATGAACAAACATAAGCTCAGAGAAATTGAGTTTGACGCCATCACGAGCATTTGCCATAATCCATGCATCAGCAGGATGGACAAGATCAACAGAGAGACCGCTACGAGGTAGGAGAATCCTGGTGATAAAGAAATGGAGCACTTTGAACTGATCTGCCAGACGTCCTGCAGAGAGCATGGAAGGATAGTATGTCCCAATATCATGGGTGAGGGACTCCATAGCTGAGCCAAAGTCAAATCTGATGGCTTCAAAATCATCATTTGTGGCAGCAGATGATCCGACACAAGGAAGGTCAAGAGTCTCTGCCAAGAGAGATGCTGTGACCTTGATTTCATGGTTGTACACCACAGTTGTGAAAAAGGAGGGACTCGACCCAGGACCACGCTTCAAGCTAGCATAGAACATTCTGACACCTTCAGGACACTGACTGAACCGTTGGTTCTCAAATAGAGAACCCCAGCCAAGCTTGTGAATGAGATCAGGAATGTCCAGATCATACTTTCTGAAGGCATAAGGTTGAATGGGAAACGATGGATAGAGTGGGCGATTTTGAAAGTGTTTAAGGTACCTAAAGTATCGAGAGGGCTTGTAAAACCCTTGGTTGTTGAAGGTAGCAGCAGAATGGAGTTGAGAATTGTTTGGAGCCATGAATGAGTAATATTGGATCAGTTTGAGAGAATTTGAGATGATGATGCGACGACAGGGAGTTGATGGTGAGTATATATAGAGTATGAACCGGGTAGAAAGAAGGAAGGAACCATTTATTAAGGAAGGTGACGATTGGGAAAGACAGATAAGGTAACCTAAGATGAGGGTGGAATATCCCACTGATTTTATGGGATTTCAGAGATTTCTTCCAACGAGAAGAGACCAAGTTCTCTCCTAATAGAAAGAAATTTATCAGCTCCCAAGGGCTTGGTAAATATATCAGTCCACTGAAAATCAGTCCCAATAAACTCAAGATGAATTTTCCCTTCCTGGACTAGATCTCTAATGAAATGATATCTAACCTCGATATGTTTAGTCCTAGAATGTTGGATCGGGTTTTTTGTCATGTTGATAGCACTCGTGTTATCGCACATAACTGGCAGAGATTCAAACTCAAGTCCATAGTCCTTGAGTTGATATTTCATCCAAAGGAGTTGTGTGCAGCATAGGCCTGCTGCAACATACTCTGCCTCTGCAGTGGACAGAGCAGCAGAGCTCTGTTTCTTGCTAGACCAGGCTATAAGAGAAGAACCAAGAAAATGACAGGCACCTGAGGTGCTTTTCCTGTCCACAGAACATCCAGCATAATCTGAGTCACTATAGCTTATCAATTCTAGGCTAGAGGTACTTGAATACCAGAGTCCTAGACTAGGGGTTCCAGCAAGATATCGAAAAATCCGCTTGACAGCAGAAAGATGACTTTCCTTAGGGTTACTTTGAAAACGGGCACAAACACATACACTGTACATGATATCAGGTCTGCTTGCTGTTAAGTAAAGCAAGGAGCCAATCATACCTCTGTACAGTCTATTGTCTATACTCTTCCCTGACTCATCTTTGGTGAGTTTAATCGAGGACCCCATAGGTGTAGAAATAGATTTTAGATTATTGAAGTTGAACCTTTTAAGCATGTTATTGAGATATTTGGTTTGACTGATAAAAATCCCATCCTTGGTTTGTTTAATCTGCAGACCCAGAAAGAAGTTTAGTTCTCCCATTAGACTCATTTCAAACCCTCCTTTCATTGTGTCTGCAAAGTCTCTACACATTTGCTCACAGGATGATCCGAAGATGATATCATCTACATACACTTGCACAAGCAAGGTATCCTTACCCTTATTCTTAATGAACAGTGTTTTATCAACCTGCCCCCTATGGAATCCATCATCAATTAGAAACTGACTTAACTTATCATACCAAGCTCGAGGAGCTTGTTTAAGTCCATACAACGCCTTATTCAATTTATACACATAATCTGGGTGTTCAGGACTTTCAAAACCAGGGGGTTGCTCTACATATACCTCTTCTTTTAAATCTCCATTCAGAAAAGCACTTTTCACATCCATTTGATATAATTTAAATCCCTTTGAGGCAGCATAAGCACACAACAATCTTATTGCTTCTAATCTAGCTACTGGTGCAAATGTTTCATCAAAATCTATACCTCTTCTTGATTGTACCCCTGAGCAACCAGCCTAGCTTTATTTCTTATGATAATTCCAATTTCATCAGATTTATTTCTATATACCCATTTTGTTCCAATTATAGTTCTGTTTTTAGGTCTTGGGACCAAATCCCATACTTTTGTTCGTTCAAACTGATGCATCTCTTCATGCATAGCAGCATTCCAGTATTCATCCTCTAATGCTTCTTCAATAGTCCTAGGTTCAATTAAAGAAATGAAGGCAGTATGTTCAGGATAAGATTTGGATCGAGTGACTATACCTTGATTTAACTCCCCTATCACAAGAGAGGGTGGATGACGTTTCTGAATGTGAGGAGGAGCCTCTGGTTGATTTACCTTCTCACTTGCTTCTTCCTGAGCAGATTCCGAAGTTATTGATGTTGTCTCAGCTCCCTTTGATTGACTCAGACTTAGTCCAAAGTCATCATCATCTTCCAACACCTCTGCACACTTACTTACAGATTCATCAAATACCACATTAATGGACTCCTCCACTTTGAGGGTCCTTTTATTGTAAATTCTGTATGCCTTACTGTTTATGGAGTAGCCAAGAAAAATTGCCTCATCAGATTTAGCATCGAATTTGCCTAACTGATCCTTAGTGTTTAAAATGAAACACTTGCAACCAAAGGGATGAAAATATCCTAAGTTTGGCTTCCTGTTTTTCCACAGCTCATAGGGTGTCTTATTTAGTTTAGATCTGATTAAGGCCCTGTTGATTATATAGCAAGCTGTATTAATGGCTTCACCCCAGAATTGTTTAGGTACTCCATAGTCATTGAGCATAGTTCTTCCAATTTCAATTAATGTTCTGTTCTTTCTTTCAACTACACCGTTTTGTTGAGGTGTTCTAGGGGCAGAGAAGTTGTGAGAAATTCCTTTCTCATTACAAAACAGTTCAAATTGTTCAGACACAAATTCTCCACCATGATCACTTCTAATGCTAGCTATGCAAGTCTGTTTTTCATTTTCTACTCGAGCAACAAAATGCTTAAATTCTGTCAGGGCTTCATCTTTACTTGCCAAGAACAGCACCCAAGTGTATCTAGTAAAGTCATCAACAATAACAAATGCAATAGTATTTTCCACCTAGGCTTTTTATATTACTAGGTCCAAAAAGATCAAGGTGAAGCAGTTCTAGGGGTCTGTTTGTGGAGATGACTGACTTGGTTTTAAAACAAGTTCGAGCATGCTTGCCCTTTACACAAGCATCACAGAAAAATTCCTTTTTGCTATGAATTTTTGGAATTCCTCTAACCAGGTCTAGATTTACCAGTTTTGATAGAGTACTGACACTCACATGCCCTAGCCTACGATGCCATTCAACCTGATCATTTTTATCAACAGTGACCAAACATGTTTCATTAAAAGCAGATTTGTCATTTAGATCAATTGTAAACAGTTTTCCTTTCCGTTTTCCAGTAAACAATATTTTTCCACTTGATATTTCTTCGACATAACACCTGTCTGGTTCAAAAATTACCCTATTTGTGTTTCCACACATCTGACTTATCGAAATCAAGTTATGTTTGAGATCTTTAACTAACATGACATTATTGATTGATGGTATAGTTCCTACTTGCCCTTTTCCTAAGATTTCAGTACTAAAGTTGTCACCAAAGAAGACTTTACCTTTCTTTCCTAGAACCAATTTTGAGAAAAGCTTTTTATCCCCAGTCATATGGTGTGAGCATCCACTATCAAGTATCCAAACACTGTCTGCCATGCTCACTTGGAGACAGGTCTGCAAAACGACGGATTTCATTTAATCTTAGGTACCCAAATTAATTTGGTTACCCTTCCTATCTGAAACTCTTTTGAACATGTTTTACTTGAATGGCCAAACTCATGACAGTTGAAGCAGTTGATATTGTTTACTCGTTTTTCCTTTGCTAGTCGTTTTCTGCATTCAGCAATATGATGACCAGTCTTATGACAGTAAAAGCACTCAGATTTTTTGGCTTTCCTCAGTGTTTTATGACTCTTCTTTTCCCCGTTTTCTAAGAGATTTCTTGCCTTTTCAGCCTTTAAGTTCTCAATTTCAGCTTCAGTTGTAGTAACCATCTGTCTTAATCTATCATTTTCGGTAGTTACAGACAAGAGTTTGTTTTCTACTTCTTCCTTTTCAGCTTTTAGCAATAAGACATCTTCCAGTAGTTTTTCATACCTTGATTTTATTAAAACATGCTTTTGTTTTACTTTTATGAACTCGTTTTGAATGTCCATTATTTTTTCATCTAACTGATCGCTTTCACTATATGAGTCAGAGTAATAGGATTTCAGATTTACCTCATTTTCTTCGATGTCACTCTCTTCAATTGCCATATAGGCCTCCTGCTTAGAGTCATCTTCATCTTCCTCACTGCAGCTCCAGGTTGTAGCGAATGCCCGTTCTTTCTTCATTAATGGACACTCTGCCTTGACATGTCCAGACTTCCCGCACTTGAAACATCCAGACTGAGTTGGCATTCTTTCTGAGGTTGATCCATCTCTTCTGTTCTTTTGTCCGAATCTGCTGAATCTGCTGAACTCCCTTTCGTTGTCTCCATCTTTTGATTTGTTATGAAAACTTCCTCTCTTCTTTTCTCTTCTTATTCGAAGCAGCTTGGCTACATGCTTACTGAGCATAGCCAGCTCATCATCTTCCATATCTTCCAAACACTCCAGATCATCTTCTTGAGTGAATGCTTTGAAGGCAATTCCTTTCTTTTCTTTTCTGGGTTCTTCAATATCCTCCCTCTTCAATTTTTCTTCGTGGGTAACTAAGGATCCAATAAGCTCATCCAGGCTTAATTTGGTAAGATCCTTAGACTCTTCTATGGCTGTGACTTTAGGAGTCCAACGCTTTGGAAGTGCCCAAAGAACTTTTCTTACCAGATCGGCACTACTGTATTCCACTTCTAGGTTCCTCAAGCTGTTCACAATTGTGGTGAACCGCTCATTCATATCCTTTATTGACTCCTCTGGCTTCATTCGACCGCCGAATTCGAACCCATCTTCTCCGCAGGCAGTTAAGCCTTTGCTGCTGGAGCCGGGCTCTGATACCACGTGTTGGTTGAGTCGAGCGCGAGACTCCGGCGTCGATTCGCTCTTCTTCTCCGATCAATTGAGATTCTGCGTTACCCTAAATTCGACCTTGACAAGAACAAGTGAAAGAAGTGGAAGAAACAAAAGAAACTAAACGATGAAGAGGGTAAAACGACTTCCCTTCGGAGCTTGCCGAAACGACAGCGAATTCAGAACCTAAACTTGAAGTGGGCTGGGCTTAATTCGTTCTCAATCTGTCGATTATAAGTTGGCCCAGATTACTTTCACAAAAACTCTGCGAAACCCAGTTTCTTACTTCTCACCCTGTGCAAATCGATCAAGACCTGTTCTGCAAGAAGAACTTGAACTTGCACTAAATAAGAAGCAAATGCAAACCGAAACATAAGATGCAGTAGAATGAAAAGCACAAATGGACACAGACACAGTA